AAAATTATGGGTGCTGAAGGCGATTTTTGTCTTTCTTGAAAATAAATTTAAACATTTGAATACATGCCCTTTCTGTATTTAGTGATACATTTTTTACTTTTTAGATTTTTTAATGAATAAATAACCGCGTTTGTCTTTTGATTTTTACGATGGTTACTCTATTTTCATAAGTCTTACCCCATTGTTATATAATGTTAACAATTGTCACAATAGTGAAAAGTTTTCGCCATGAACAAAGAGCGCAGTATAATATTTTCGAGTTAAATAATATTATTATGTTATTTTTTTTTTTTATAAAGTATGCTTCTATATTGACCTAAAATTCAAAATAAGAAATAGACGGATATACTTCGCACGAAGGGTGGGTCACTGTTGTAAGTGTGAAGTTGGGAAGGTAGAGGGGAAATTTAATGTATATCTGTACGCAACGATTAATCATTGTTAATGAAAAAACGATTCTAAACGGAGTTCGGTGATAGTGTTTCTTTGTCAACAATATAATATATGTCATATTAAAGTAAAATAATTACATAATATGTATTATATATTTAACCTAATAATATTTGTTCCTATTTTTCCGTTTTTCCTGCGTTGTTTCCCGGTTTCCAAGTTTTCCATTATTTTTTTTATTTATTGGCAAAACTCCTGAAAAATCAAATAATCACCCAGTCAGATTTCCTTTCAGAAAAAGTGCTATCATTGCAAATCGAAGTAAAATTGCTGGTAGAAAATTTGTTCACGGAAAAAAATAAAACATCATTGTAAAACCACTTTGATCCAATAAAATAATAAAAAAATACCTCTTTTGTAACAGTTTGGATATTTAGTTGATGTATTGAAGAAGTCATTTTTTGATTTTCCAAGGAAAAACTGGAAAAACTGATGAATATTTACAGCATCGATTTCATTATTTTTAATTTGTACGCATTATGTTTTCTACAAGAAATATTGCTCCATATTTTTTACAAGAGGGCATGGCCGGATGGGCTTCATTTTATTCATTGAATTTGAATGGGCTTTGGTTGTATAAAAGGGAATTGTGTAGGGCTGGACTTTTTAATTATTGTTTGATGGACTGAGCCGGGCCGTCCAAAACCAGGCTTGGGACGTTATGTAAATTTTATAATGCCAAATGTCGATGTCAGGTGAAATACCGAAAAACTTGCCACAAGTGCATATCATTAATTTATTTAACTTAGTATAATAATTTTTTACATACTCTTAGGTATAACTACTACTATCTAGTATCTACGATAAGCTCAAATGAGCTTGGTTGGACTTATATGGATTCGACAAATGGAACGGGCTGGGCTGTATTTATAATAAATGAGCTCAATTGGGTCAGGCCTTCATTTTATAATTATAAATTTGGAGAGTTTGGGTTTCTTAAAATATGATAGTAAGACAATGCTTTTCAATTAGGAGGACGGATCAGGTCAAACCCGAATATAAAAATTTAGGATTCTAGAGCGCGCATAATAATGTTCTTTAGTGATTTTTTTCGAATTTTGTTTAGCTATTATCCTTTTTTTATTGCATTTCAATTACATAAAATGAATAATTGGGTGCCGTCGAACGATAAACATTTGTCGAAACTATCGTGATACTCGGTCGAAGTAATGGCAGTCGCAGTAAGTTCTTCAAAAATTAATATTTAAAAAAAAAAATAGCCTCCAAGCCGCTGTGTTTACAATATTAACTGAGTGAAAGTGTGAACAGCTTATACGCAAGGGGCTGGATGATTCTGACTTTTGTGTGTGTTAGCCTGGTAAAACACGATTGAGTATATATATATATATATCCTTTTAGAAATACGATTGGACATATTTTATACGACGAGGAAACATTTAAACCGAAATTTTGTAATTTATTATTTTCGTGTATTATTACACGTTTTTTTTATGCACAATCTTTCGAGAGCCACGAAAGGCTCGTATTTGGACCTTTCAACTGTCGCGTATGTGGGTCGTGTGCTTCTGAACAGGTGATACATTAGGGTTTGGTCGATTTTTACTTTTTTATTTGTGACCCTGCGTCATAGAGGACTGTATTTCTTTTTGTCCTTTTTCTTTTTTTCTAACTTTGTCTCTCTTTCTCTCTCTCTCTTTCTCTCTCTCTCTTTCTCTCTTACGTCTAAAAGCTTAGATTTTTTTATTATTAATTATTATTTAATAATTATTAATTGATTGATTCGATTTATTTCCATTTATCTGTTTTCCAAATTTTCTCCAATTTTGTAAAATTCGAAAATTGCTCTTTTACATTTTTTGATGACCACCTTAATAATATAAAACTTGTCGACTAATTTACGGCCCAATTAAATGGAAAGGGTGCGGCCGAGAACGCTTTATATATTACTTGCTAGGTATTACTTATTCTTATTTTATCTATTTTACATTGTTTTCGAGTTTTTTAGTTTTTATTTGATTTCGTGATTTATACATGGTGGTACAATCTACGTGCATCACTCATTACTTTGGAATGTATTGACTTTTTAATTTTTTGATAATATAAGAAACAAACAGCTCAAAAATGCTATATTATATCATTATTTTTGAGGGTAAAACGCCTATCTATAGTATGTGTTGATACAAGGAAATATAGTGTAATCTAATTTTGAATAAACTTTATTAATTATGTTGTACATTAAACGAAACTTAATGCGATTGTAGAATATTTGAAGAAATTGTTGATTCGGCTTTAAAATTGGACATAGGTAGGTATTATAACGGAATGGTTTTTTTTTTTTTATTATAGTATATAAACTAATAAATAACCTGCGTAATGTACAGGGCGATTCATTTAACGNTTTTATTTCTCTTTGTCACCTTTATTTTCGGGGGTGAACTGATTACCTAACTAATTTTAATTTTATACACATTCAAAATCTATAAATAGACTGAATTTTAGTTAAAATAAATTTTGATGTTGACATTTTTAATTTTTGTTTATAGGTTAACGAGATATTCCACTTTTAAGTTCGGATTGGAGGAGGGAGAGTATAGTGGATCATATTTTGTGTGTGCTCATCGTACTCATACTTAAAAGTAGAATAACTCGTCAACGGGTTAACGGAAATCAAAAATGTCAACACTTAGATTTATTTGAACTAATACTTCATCTATTTGTGGAATTTAGGTTTCACCCCAAAAAAAAATAATGTGATTTTGCTCACCACTAAATGTGAATAAGAGATATTTGGCTCCATGCAAATGCTCAACATGTTGAGGCAAATAACACGATAAATGGTAATTTATTTTTTAGTTACCAATTAATACGGTTTTTATTTAAGTTAATCTAAACATTTTTAACCGAACTATTTTTCGTTATTGTTTGCAATAATTATTAAAATAAATAACTATTTAACTAAATTATCCTGTGCCCTTATATCGAATAATAACCTAAACAATATCTAATCTATTTTTCGGATACTATATGTACATACCTAGGTAGATAGTGGCTAACTCTTGGGGTGAAGTCAGTCTTTTTTGGTTTTGTATACAAAATTTTCAAGGCTTCGAACCAAGAAATGTGTAAAATTACATTTTTAATAAATTTGCGGGTATACTTATGTCATTTGCGTTCATGTTTAAAAAGTTGCTGGATTCAGCTTTTTAAACTTTTTCCGCTTCCAAAATCACATTTTTCCCGAGATAAAAAATCTACATTATCATAAATATAGTTTCCTTCATTTTTTGCTCAAAATTAAAAACTTTACTATACGGTACTTACCTATATACGTTTGTACCAAATCTAATAAATTACGGGTGTCTATATATTAATAAATTGTTTTTCATTAATCCTGCCAAACTTAAAATAATATTATGGAAATCACTGGATAATTAATTTTTCCTGAGTTGTCAATATTGATTTGGTGAAATATTACAGTATACAGGGCTGGGATGATAAACTAGGTAGTTACACGTATAAAACATATACGATTTTTGGTAAAGAAACGATTTGTAATAAATAATCGGTAACTAATTTTTGTAAGGTAAATTACAGTGTATAGATATAAAAAATAATCCGGATATATAATATATTTTATATATGTACCATGTTAAGTGTTAATGGTCTGTAGTAAAAATAGGTAAAACAAGAACTGTGATATAAAATAAAAATGAAAAACATAATTGTATATGCAGCCACTGTTATAGGTAATTTGAAAAAACAACTCAGAGCAGAATTTAGATGATATTGTTATTTTGTCAACAATATATATGTCATAATATGGTAAAATAATTACATACGCATTATATATATTTTTTTAATATTTGTTTATTATTGCATTTATTTTACCATTTTCCCATTTTTTGAGAAAACTCCTGGGAAAATAAAAAAAAATGATTTTCTTAAAGTACCTTCCCAGTCAGATTTCCTTTTGGAAAAAGTGTTATCATTGTAAAAAGGAGCAAAATTGCTGGTAGAAAAGTTGTCCGCAGAAAAAAAATATAAACATCATTGTAAAACCAATACATTACTCGTTTCACTAAGAATCTAAAATTATATTTAATGCATCATAAAATAACATTTATCACAATGTATATTAGGTACTGATTAATGTCTGTAAAGTTAGTTTTAAAATTAATAAAAAGTAATTTAAGACTATTACAGCAGCCTTATAGTTAATTGGAAATATTTTTTAGATTTTATTAAAATTTCGGGGATGGGGAAGGACTGTAGCCCACTAAATTCCCCATTTCTATGAATACGTTCCGTATATACTATACATAGATTGTATAAAATTAATAATATACACTATACAAGATCTGACCAATAAGTAATGAGACTGCTTATTTGCCACGCTTGTGGTAACACTGCGAATCTGAAACTTCGTTCAGTTAATCTCTCATCCCTCCTCTATCGATAAATGTGCTCGCGATTTTCGTACAATAATTAGTTTTCCAGTTGTGTTATGTTTTCGACAACGTGTTTGTAAGGCGTGTCACAAATATGGAACAACGTAATATAAATTTTGCGTTAAACTCGGCGATTCCGTTATGGAAACGTACGATAAATTGGTGAAAGTGTTCGGTGATGAAGCCCTGAGTCGTGCTCAGGTGTTTCGATGGCATAAAAATTTTAAAAATGGTCGTGAAAACGTCGGGGATGAACCGCGAAGTGGGAGACCGGTTGCAGCTCGAACTGACAACAATGTTCAGCGTGTGCGCACTCTCGTGCATCAAGATCGGCGTTTAACCGTTCGAATGTTGGCTGATGAACTTAATTTGAAACGAGAAACCGTCAGAAAAATTTTAACTGATGATTTGTCCATGAANCCATGCCATCGTGCCTTCAGTGTGTCGCGATTTTTGACCTCTAAGAACATCGCAGTGTTGCCACAAGCGCCCTATTCGCCGGATATGTCACCCTGCGACTTCTTTTTGTTCCCTCAAACAAAATTGGCCGTGAAAGGAACGCATTTTGAGTCCATAACTGACATCCAGAACGCCGTAACGAGGGTACTTCAGGATATTCCAGTCAAAGCCTTCCAGAAATGTTATGAGAGCTGGAAAAAACGTTGGAACCAGTGTATAGGGGTGGGAGGGGAGTACTTTGAAGGGTATCACATCGATGTATCTTAATATTTAAATATACGTATTTTATTGAATTAGTCTCATTACTTATTGGTTAGACCTCGTACGTACTTATAATACGGTATAGTATAAATTACATATTATTATACATCACAACTTTCATACATGGCCGATCATAATATGTAATACACTTATTATCGTCAGAAAGACATGACTTCTTCCGGAATTTGTTTTACAGAAAATTAAAGAAACAAGTGACTCTAAAATGTAACATTACCATATTTTGTCACCCTTGTTTTTGGGGATAATACTACTACTTACTTTTGATTTTTAATAAAAATCTACTCTGAAATCTATATTAAATATTGTATGAATAGATTGTGTTTTAGTTAAAATCAATTTTGGTGTTGAAACTTTTAATTTTTGTCGACCTATTAACGAGATTTCACTTTTCAGTTGTAAGTTTTGTAGGTAAAGGGGTAAGAGTGGAATATCGTTTGTGTGGCGGTGCGGAGTTTGTGTATGAATAGTAGAAAATAGTAGTGTTCCACTACTATTTTCTTACTCACAAAATGTCAAACTTAAAATTGGAAAATCAAAAGTAAGTAGTAGTTTCTGCCCTTAAAAAATAACGGTCATGTATTATCTTAGTGCTAATCTTTTAATACTAAGTCAATTTAAGATATTACGTTTTACGTTATGTTGATCATTCTGTATTTTAGAAAATAGATCATGAAGATAATGTGATCGTTTAATTAAGGCACGTAATCCCGTATAATATATTTAATCTATGTCACCCATATTAATTTACGGATTAATATTTTATTTTACAATGACTGTAACATATATAATTGCAGTTGTCTGTATACCACCCTTGTATTTACAGAATGCTCATGTGGGTTCGGATTTTTAAAAATTCCGTAAATATTTATTTTTTTTTTCTTTTCCAGGTCATATACCGGGCCTACATGAAAATCCTGGGCCCGGGGTAATTCTCTCACGAAACCCCGCCCCCCCCCTCTCTTCGGGCTTGGGTACCTATAGGAACATGATTCGATATGTACTTTGCCCTGCTTTGTGCTCTTACAATGAAGTAATTTGTGACTTCAGTCATATTATTATCTTTTATACTATTTCTCATTATAAAATATATGTATACCTTTTAAATGCTTGAAATTAATTTTTTTTTCTCTTTACACGTGGTATAGCTGGTAACTCATTCTAATGATTTTCTACGATTTGTTCGAGTTTTGCCTCAATTATAAAATAAAATAATTTCTTTCATCTAGCTTTCTACTTAACTGTTTAATTTACATTAACTTTTTATTGATAATTATATTTTATTTATTTATATTATTTATGTTTTCTCGTATTTTTCATACCTGGTATTATTTTTAGGTTCTGAGTATAACAACGAAGGAGTTATTATTGTTTTACAAAAATGTGTGTTTTACTTAGAAAACACTTTCGGTTAGTAAAAGTACTCAAATTTCTTCATATCATACCTTGAAAGATGCTGATTTTTTCCCTGATGAAACTTTAATTGAAATATTTATCGACGTTCTCAGCAGTTCATGCCCTAGGTTTAATTATTCTCCACTCAGAATTGTTTTTTGTTAACAATAATTCATCGTCATATACAGTATACAAAAATTAATTACTCTGTATATTCTATCTGCTCAATTAATCATTTACAACAGTTGCCTGGTCGTGAGCCGTATTAATTTTTATTTGATTATTTATTTTTTGAATCAATTTACAGTTTTCGAACTAAATATTACTAATATTATTTATAGAAACTGTTAGTTTTATAAAATATATTATTGGTATGGCATTTGTATAATTTGAATATTGCTTATATATCATGGTGTAGACATAAGTATTAAAATTGATAGGTATAGTGAAATTAAGCTATTTAAATTATTTACACTTTTGAAACTTTTTGTACTGATGCAAATTTTGTTTAAACTGAAGTTTAAAAAATTGCCCACATTTCGCATTTTCACAAGCCTTGATAAACTTTGCTTATGTGCATCTATACTTATTTATATATTCCTGGTAAATATGATAAAATGCCATATTACGAGTATTATGATATCTTACTTCGGTCGAAGTGAGTTCACCATTTTCTTTTATTAATCGCTCAAGAGTTTTCCCGTGGTTTTCAATCATTTCTTCACGAAAAAATGTTTGTAAAACTATTTGATATGACATTATAATTATTATGTGTCTTAAGTGTAACTATTAACTAATAATAATATTATACCTTTAATAGAGACATCAAATTTATTATTCATGGTAATAACTGCCGCAGAGTTATCTTTACAACGCGATATCTTGACTTGAACATTTTCTATTTCTTTATTTATTAAATCCAATAGCTGCTGTCTTTCATATATTTCTGAATTTATTTGACTTTTTTGTCTTTCTTTTTTTTCCTTTTCTTCTTGCTGTAGTTTGTAAATACTGGAGTCTAATAACCACCGCAATTCATATTTTTCCGTCTCCAATACTTGTATCTAAAGTAATAAAAAGTTCGATAGATTAATATTAATTCACCTAGACATTTTTGTATTTGACCAGATACGGGGAAAGTTGAATATTACAGCTACAACAAAAAAAAGTATCGCTTGCAGAGTTTATTTTTTAAACAGAAAACTTATTCCATCTAGTTGATGATTCTATAAATTTGACAAAAACCATATAGGTAAAGTTTAATAAAATATTCCATAGAGGCATAACCATGTAGTTCATATGTATAATAAATCATATTATTTTAATTAATCCCATATTGTCTATTCGTAATTAAACAATATTATGCTAAAGTAGGTACTAGGCATCTATTAGGTATATTATTGACAGTAATTGGATACTTATTTAAATCGATTGCTGTATATTATGAATGTATTTAATTGGATTAATTAGTACATAGTTTGTCAGTAAAAAATATGATTGCATATAGGTATTAAATTTAATGTAGTTTAATTATTGGATTATCTTTATGTTTTTAAATAAATAGCATCGCTATAGCCTACATCATGAATGCTTAAATGAATAATTTATATGAATTGAAGTGATTATATGATATTTAACTCTATATTTTTATTCAGAAATAATAAAAAGGGTTATCACGGAAAAACAATACAAGTGATTCTATAAAGGCGTATTGGTGATATTTTGCAACAAAATAGCGAACTATTAAAAAGTTTTCAGTTTATAAACGTCGGTCGTTAGTAAATAATAACAACTATAATACCATACTAGCAAGTTATTATATATGTATACTGTAGTTTGCCGATCACTAGAAAACTACTATTGTTTTTAATAGTAATAATTATTATTATATTCTTTTCGTTTTTTAAATATTTTCCTCGTAAGTTTCGAAAAAAGGATTTATTTTTTTAAATTTTGTTTATAATGGTTAAACTTAAGTTTAACTTTCGTTAATTACTCACCTCGGTACCTTTACATATAGTATATTCTACACGAGACTTTTGGATTCTATGTAAAATATATTATACCAATATTTCTCATATCGTTAAAATATTTAGATATTTTTTAGCAGAAAGTAGGTAAAAACATTTATTAAATATATTGTATAATAACAGAAGCAGGGAAAACAATATATTTTTTATACCTCTCGATACTGAATATTCGATTAATATAAAGTAAAATATTATTTTATTACTAAAGTTTACGATAATATTACCTAATTTATTTCAAAAATATTTATTTTGTTTTTTATAAAAGCACAGTATATATGTACATAAAATTGCAGGCATAAAATTTAATATTTAACTTAATTAGATCATTAATCTTTTATAATCTAATATTATTTCTTACTTTATTAGTTATTTCTTCAAATTGCGAAATAAGGTTAAGTTTCTCACTTGATGCTAAATCGAATTCATATATATTATAGTTAACATTGTAATAATCCTCATTATCTTCTTCGGTAAATTCAACAATTTTATTTTTTAGTTTATCGATATTTTCTTGAAGGTCTCTTTAAAATTAAAATAAAAAATATTAATAGTACAATTTCCGTACTATTTAGTCGAGATTGATATTTTTTGCTTTTTTGATTTTGATTGTTGGGCGTGACAATTTATTCGCTTTTCAATGATGTGTTTTTTTTTATCAGACTCTTTTGACATTTTATTATAATAGGTAGACTATAAATATGTATATACATCTTTTTATAGGGAGAAACCATTAAACACAGGTGGCGTCTATTATATTTTACAGATCATTTTTTGAATTTCCCTGTTCGATGTCCAGAAAATTGTCATGAACTATATAAATATAAACTATAAAATGAAATATAACAGGTGTTTAAATTTGAGTTTGAAATGTTGTTTATAAAATATGATTTAAATGCAATAATAGTTTAATAATAATCAACAAATAAGAGCCTAACACTAAAATCATTGCCCCCCTTTATATTTTGTACTAAATTTGTTATGTATTAATAGCTATAATTTGCAAATAGATTTCATTGTTTTCTGTGTACCAGATGATCTATCTGATTGTGTACATTCATTATCTTAGAAAGTATTAAATTTTTTCGGAATTTGTTTTCTAGAACATTTAAGAAACAAACAGCTCTATAATTTTATATTTATTCAAAAATTAGTTTCGATGTAGTATTTTTTATTTTATTTTTTTTTATAATAGTTTTAGAATCAAATTTTGATAAAAATCGTAGATATTACCACCTTTATCAAAACATGTATAACCGAATTCTGCTCCGAATCGTTTTTTGTTATCAATGGTTTATCATTGGATATAGGCATACATTAAATAACTTTATGTATTACACCTTTCTCATTACCAACCTTATTAACAGTGATCTCACCTGTCCTCTGTATCAGTTCATTTTACTAATACATTTCGTACATTTTCCCGTTTATTCCCGGTTTTTCCCAATTATTAGGAAAACTCAGGAGAAAATTAAAAAACGAGCTACCTAAATTATCTCCCTAGTCAGATAAAGTCAGAAATAGGGCTATCACTGTAAATCGAAGTAAAATTATTGGTAGAAAAGTTGTCCACAGCAAAAAAAAATGTTTATAAACATCATTGTAAAATTACTACATATTAGCTTCACTCAGAATTTAAAGATTGAGTGTAAAGTAGAATTTTTTTTATAAGAATCATTGTTGTGTACAGATTTATACATTAAATTCCTCTCTATATCTTACCTTCCCAACTTCTCATCTACAAGAGCGACCCACCGATCATACGAAGTATGTTTGCCATTTTTATTTGAAACTTTTTGTTTAAACTAAATGTCTTAAATAAATTATGCTTAATATTTTATACCTTCCTAACTTTCGTCACTTACAACAGTGTATTTTGCAAAACTAAACACATTGGTTATAAAGGTACTTTTGTATAGCTCAATAACTGGTATTTATTAACTGTATATTATAATAACATGCACACGTGCATAATATAATCTATACTAGTGTACTACCCGTCTGGGGACCGACAAATCCTTTCGTTTCCTCATCGAACTGATTCCACGTGGACATAATGTTATGGACACAACAATAACGGGCCGAGTTTTATAATATAAATAACCGTTTCTGACAAGTCTATGATTTATTCAGGATACGTTTCACATATAAATTTACTGTCGCCATATAATATAATATGTTTTGGCCATTCGTAATTTATTCTCGGAAATAAACGAAGCTTTTGCATTCTATTATTATTATAACTAGGTAAGTATACAAGATAAATATGCATTTTTTTTAAAAAATAAATGTAAATATTCTAGATTAAGGTGGATATTTTTTGAACGGACCCACGAACAACAACAAAAAAAAGAAGAATATATTTATAATGGGAACTTTTGGACATTATCTATGAATAAACGGTGGTCCGCGTTTGATAAATACTCATCAATATAATACATCGCGAACAATAATAAAAAAATAAGGCTCGTAAATTTCTAAAATTACGTTTTTATACACTTGACAATAACAGAGTTTCATTTGTTTGACATTCACATATTATTACACAGGCTTTTGTATATGCAAACAACGTACGATATTATCAATCCGTTTATCTAGGGAAGAAATAGTCAAATATATAATGAATATTGTAAAATTAAAATTAGATACCTATATGAAAAGTTCTAGTTGACACTCATTTTTAGCGTATGTTATACGAAAATAGTGTTTTGACTCTGATTCGGACAGCAATTTGAAATCAATCTCGAATTTAATTTTAAAGAAAATAATATAGATATAATACACCCCCCTCTAGATTAGGCTTTCATCTTCATATTATTCACAGTTATATTGTATATAAATTATAACATTTTCTTATTGTACTATTCTGACACAAATTGTAAGTATTATTTGAAAAAAAAAAAGAAAAGATTACGCACAAAAAGAATATCTCATCTAGAATAAAGTAGACGATTTTATATTTCGCATGTTTATATGTTTATACATCATAATAGTATTTAATAGAACTTATTCATAGTTTTTAACGATTTTCGCAATATTTTCCAAATTCAATCTATGATACAAATAAAAATAAAACCATTGCTTATATAATTATTAATATTATGAATATTATTTGGTGTTACCTGGTGTAAGTTAGAATAATTTATTAATAACATTAGTTATAAAGAATAGTAACAGTAAATTATTGCAAGAAAAAACATTTGTAATACTTCAAAAATATTCAAAAATTGTTTGCATTAAAATAAAAAAAAAAAAGCTATAGGAAATATTATGTAAACATATAAAACGATAATATTTTATTTGAACTCTGTCACCTAATCTCAATAAAATTTAATGGGCTATTTAAATTTAAAAAAAAATATTTAATATTTCTTTTGTATGTACATTTTTAAATTTTTTTGTTTTTGGTGGAAGGAGGAGGGATTTGAAGACTTAATAAATCTAAAAACACAAGAAATGTTGACCTTTAGTTGTTCTTGCATATGATTATAATGAAACAATTTAGATAATTATCCATTATATAATATAATAATAAATATTTAACTACCGTAATATTTTATGAAAAAAAAAATATACCTTATCGAATTTAATAGTTTTTCTTCATGTGTGTTCTGTTGGGTAACTTGAAAAATGTAAATGTCTTTTGTGTTTTCCACAACCGTTAATGCGCATCTTAATTTATCAAAAATTGCTTCACTAGAAATCATTTTTTCTTGCGCTACTTGTTTTAATTGGCAAATTGTATCGTAGTCTAAATAAAAAAAAAATGTCAGCAATTAAAGATTTGTTTTAAAATTAAAATTTCTATCAAAAGTTATAATTCATAATAACAATATATAAATAATAAAACTATTCTCTGCTAAAAGTAAACCAGTCGAAATAATACAAATTATTATAATTAATAACTGATTTATCCTATGTTAGATATTTACGATAATAGTCAATATTTTTGAAAAAAATGTATTATTTTATTGAATCTAAGAAAATAAGAACCAAAAATAGTTGGTATTTATTTATTAAGGTAAATAAAATGTCAAAACGGGATTACTACAATTATTTAAAAAAGTATTTCAACGATATTTAAATTATAGGTGAAGGAAGCTGGAGAGAAATTAAAATCAATTGATTTACCATATAGCCAACCCGCTGATTCATTAAATTAAAACTATTCCCTTAGTTCTACTAAAAGAATTACAATTAATTCTGTTTAAAAATAAATAGTATAAGTATGTAAATATTCAGCGTGTAGTGATGAGAAAATGGTTTTAATAATCTTTTGTTATTTTTTAACACTATTTCGTGCCTTTAATATTTCCCTGCTAATGCTTATTGTAATATTTGAAACTTTAACACTAATATAATAAATGTCTCAAATTTAAAGTTTCTTTTTTGAGTTCATAAAAAAAAAAAAATTAAATTATTCTTGAAATGGGGTTTTATAATAAAAACATGTGCTCGCGAATGTCATTTGCATTTGTTTATTTTAAAACTGCTTTATCAATATTTGCAATCATATATTAAACAATACACTTAATAAAAAGAGGATCAACTGCAATTTAAGAAAATATTCTTTAGGTCTCGTATAATAATACTAATAATACGATGTTCGATTTTATTAATTTTGTTATATTTTCATTTCACTCAGTATTAAGAAAATATTTTTTAAACGAAATATTGGTCAAGTATCCGGAAAATATAAACTGTCTAAAAGAAATTATTTTATGTAACACAAGCTATTTTATTATTTTATTTATAATTTATAGAGCTTAATAAAATATCTACGATATATTATGCATTATTCATAAGTTCTGTGTATAATTATTAATACAAAAAAAACATAGGCTTTATAATCATTGGGTCATTATTTTTTTTTTTTATAGAAATATGTGAGGTCGGAAAAACAAATAATCGGACCTTTTTTTTTTAATTACAAAAAAAAAAAAACTTTTCAAATATTATACAGGTATTTAATTATCTTTTAAATAAGCTATTGATATTCCACACACTTCGAATAAATACAAATAGGAAAAATTAGGTTTTGTATTTAAATTTCATCTAATTTAAGATATGTGAAAATATCTTTTTTGGGGAGAAGGAGTCTTCATTATTCATCAAAATCCCCTTCACAGAAAAAAATAATTGAATATCATTTACATAATGCTAGTGTTGTAAAATATTCGTATTTCGTATAAATGTATTTAAATTTTTTTAGTTTTAAATATTTATTTCGTAGAGAATTTATAATACGCACGTATTATAATATATATTATTATGTTGATCACGATTCATTGGCCAAATAATTGAATTTAATATCGACAGTAATCGATTTGCCTTAATGCAGTATGTTACCCGAGGCAAATGCGTGAAGTGATCGTGATTGTATTTTGAGATAAATCATTAATGTAAATAGAAATGTGATAAGATATTATATTATTGTAGTTCTTTAGTTATACATCATTATTTTTAGCTTTAAACTTCAAAACTTGTTTTGGTAATTTTTAAAAATGTATAAAGATGATGCAATAAAAACTTAAGTGTTCCAAAATATAATAATGTATTCTGAAATACATATTTGAAAAATTTTACAGTATACTATAATTCATTCCAATTAGAACTTGTCGGTCAGTCTCAATGTGTTATTGTTTTGGATTTAAGATAAATATTTTATAGTCGAAATTATATACAATTATACATATTATAAACTTCATGGCTAAATAATAATGAGTAATGATATAAAATGGTTATAAACTAATATTGCAATTTCAATGATTATAATATTTAAGTTACTTAATACTAATAATAACATGTAGCTACTTACTATTATTTAAATCTTCTAATTTGTTTTTTTTCTGCAGAATCAGTTCATCTAACAATTTATTCAATTCAACATACTATAAAAATATAATATTAATTCTATTGTGTAATTATATTACCTTATGAATGATATAATAATTTCAATTACGAAAAGTTGTAATCAAACCTTTACTTTTCCTATAGTTTTGTATATCACAAAAAAATATAATATTTAAGTACTAAAGCTGTGTAGACTAAAGCTTATTATATATTTTCGGCCTAATTTATAATGGTCGTTACTTTAAAATTACAACTTTTCAGGAGAAGCTTACAAATTAATTTCTTACAAACTAAATCTAAAACTATTAGAATTTAAAATTTCTGAATTTTTTTTAGACGAACAGAAATATATGGTTTATAATAATTAATAATAAGGAATAAGATAATAAAAAGTTAAGCGTTTTGTAAAAAAACGTTTCTAAGAAAAAAATATTTTTATAAATGTTTGAAATTCAATTATTGACAATTATTGTAATGATGACGGTATTTCAAAACACACATATACTTGACATTGCTCAGAATAGTATTTCATAACTAATTATTTATCATTACGTACAACTATAAATTTAATAACTTCCCATTCAACAATCGCCCATTCATCAACATTATTAGTGATTTTTGAAAAAAATTATTTTCCTTGATACAATAATAGAAAAAAACGCTTATTGGGCGATATTTTTCCTACAAACAACAATTGACATTGATAACAATTGCACAAATAAGATGAAATTGGTGAAGGAAAATAATTTTTGACACATAAAAATATAATTTTGTTTTGAATCAGACAATGAACTGGTGCTGACACAAATTTGAAACATCTCCCGGAGGTGACAGAGGTCCTAGTAAAATCCAAAAATACCCTAGACAAATTTAGCAAATTCTTATCAAAATATTAATACTAGTTGCATAGTCCTTGTATAATTTACCAACTAACAGATATTTAAAATACCGCCGAATGAAAAAATACCGAGAATAAATTCAAGCAAACTGTTTTACTTATTATAATCGTTCAATCGTTTTCAAATGCTGTAACAATATAGTTTATTGTTAATTTCAGTGTTTAAATATCACTGCTGTAATTACTACCTCACATATTGCCTGTAAAGAATTTTTATAAACTATTTGTTTATGCGGAATCTTCAACTAAAAATATTTTTTTATTGACTATTATAATAAGTAAGAAAAAGTCAGGTTTACAAACCACTTGTATAGTGGTTAGGTATAAACAAATCTACAAGTAGAGAATATTTTAATGAATCTAAACAACTATTTTGAATTAAAATACCGAGGTATGTTTATTTAAGATTATATAATATATTCTTGTATATTTTATGTATATCTACATTCAATATTATATTAATAAATTATAAAGTTACATTTCATTAATATTCATTATTATTACTATTTTTTGGTTATTTTCTTATTTGTGTGGTTTGACTTCATAACTGTCAATAGGTATTTATTGTAATTTATGAACAGATGTAATCGACAGCTGCTCCATTATAACAGACAAATTAGAATATAATAATAGAGGGTGTAAGTACGCTGAATTCAGGATGATGTTTTGAAATTAATAAAGTAACAATGAAATATGTACACCGGAAAAGTAAATTTCCTTAATCCGCAAACTGTGTGTGTACACGAGGAAGCTCGTCACTAATTAATTCTCAGAGTTTAATGTTGATACTCGCGTAAACTCGCGATACTCGCGAAAAAAAATAAATTTTCATTACTACAAAATATGTGGTTGACTGCGTAATGTTATCATTCAAGCGAAGTATGCATATTATTGACATACGGATATATTTGCATAACAGGGAATACAACAGTATCAAATAAACACGAGGACTCCAAAGTAATAATAAGTTTATTTTGTGTGTGCCCGCTTTCTGAATACTTCTATCGTTGAATTAGTGTCAGCGTGGTGTCTATTTGATCGAGTAGACTTTGCTTTAGTGAGATCAAGTGATAGGCATTTGAAAAAAGAACTTTTTATGGGTTTTTCCAAAATTGAAGACTTTTAAAATGAGTAAATTTCGGCTAATTTCCCGAGTGTCCCATGATATTATTTTATTATGGCATCTTAAAAAAGTGCAAGAATTTGAGGGGAGTTCGGTAATTTTATTTCCATAATATATCCATAGTTTGAATTTCACGCAGTAATATACATATATTATATATATATACACTGTAAATTGAAATATTGTACCTGTATAATCAATAATATATGGAATTTGTATAAATTTATATATTATTTATATTATTATATACCTAATTATTTTATAAAATAGATTAATTTAATGTTTACTTGATTAACATAATTGAAAATATTATCTAATATTTGATCAGATTGAGCTTGTAATATATTCCATTCTGATGTTAACAATCCCCTAGCATAAAATTAATTGTTTGCAATTATTATTATTATTATCAGATGATATAATAACTTAATATAGGTAAGTATTCACTTTGAAATCAAAAACAATGAAACAAATCAATATTGGTAAAGCAAGAAAAGTTTATTTTTAGTTAAAATTATTGTATTTTATATTTACTCCGTGTATTGACAACCAGTGGCGCCGAACTAATTTTTTTTAGGTGTGACAATGAACATTTATTTCCACTTACCTCTACGTGGTATTAAACCAAAGTCATGCAAAGCCCTCTATACCAGCTACCAATTTCTTAAATTACAAAATAATGTTTTCAAAAATTATATTATCTATAACTAAATAATGTTTACATTTTTGTTTTATTTAATATTTTAATGTATAAATAGATACTCTAATTTTTTATTAGCATACAAATTATTTATATGATTGTGAGAAACCAATATTGACATTTGACATAATTACTGATTTAGTTATTTATATTTTTATCTACATTATAAATACCATACAGTACTTACCAATTAAAACTGTTTGATTAATATTGATTAATATTCTTATAAATATTTTAAATTCAAAGCATAGCGTGGGTTATATTGGTTTTACTAAGATGTTTAATATTTTTTTCGTCTGTAAACAACTTTTCTACTAGAGATCTTGTTCCAATGTAGAGCATTTTTTCTGAAAGGAAATTTTCTTTTGTTGGTGCTTTAAAAATATAATTTTTTGATTTTTCAAAGAATTTTCAAACAATTGGGAAAAATCAGGAACAAAATTATGAGTAAACCGGTAAATATATTTAATAAAATAATCGATTTCACTGTTTTTAATTTTTGCAAACTATGTTTCAACCAGAAATATTGCTCCAATCGAAAAATAACAAATACATTTTTGTTGAATTTTTAAACTAGTTTGTGAGTAATTCGTTTTCTGATTTTCCAAGTAGTTTTTGTAATACTTGAATAAAACCAAAAAAAAAAAAAACGTAGAAAGAACGGAAGAATTTATTAAATTATTTTTTTTATTATTTTTAATTTTTGTTTCTTGTTGTAATTCAGTTAAAAATACTTGTAAAGATTTAATATTTTGACAGAAAACTTATAATAAAATAATAAAGTAAAAACAAAATTATTAAAATGGTTAATACTCGTAAATAAATAAAGTAAATAAATATAGTAAATAATATGTAAATACAAAATTTGTATATAAAAATAAAATAAATAAATAAATAAATGCGTTGCCTGGAGTATTATGATAAGTGTATTATACAACCGGTTTCGAATTAAAAATTTATCACCAGGTATATCACAGTCAAAATGTAAAACGCGACTGAATATTAAAAATTAAATGAAGAAATATATAGAAAAAAACAATTTTCAAATTGGTCGTTTTACATAGAATATAGAAAAATTTATTTCAATAAGAGAGATTATTTAAAATTGTTATTAGACATAGATATGTTAAGAAATATAAATAATTTGGTTATTATTAATTATCTAAAATGTAGTGATATAAGATATTTTTTTTAAAATAGGTTTAAACATTTAAAATATTATTAAAATTATTTTTCTTTATTTCATTGTAAATATGTAATTCTTCTAAAACTGAATTAATGTAAATTTTATTTTGATCACTTCACACTACAATAGTTAACAATATTATTTGGTGAGTTGTGTATTATTTTTTCTTTAACACGTTTATGCATTTTTTAATAGTATTTAAATATTTATTTACTATATTTATTTACTTAAGAAAAATTATATTTGCCTTTTCTAAACGTGATAAATTTTCAAAATTGTTGAGCCATTTTTGAGCTGTTTTTAGACATTTAAATTTTGTGAGGGTTGTACATAATTTTTATTTGGTAGGTACTGTGTAGATAAATTTGTTAGACTAAACAGAAATGCTTGAAAATTTGACTGAGAGTTACGACATTACCACAAATCGTACTTAATGGTAAAAAACATTAGTGTAATGTAGTATTTTTTTGTTTTTATAAATGCTTTAAAATCAAAGTTTAATAAAAATCGTAAATATTACGGCCTTTCAAAACATGTATAACCGAACTTCGCTTCAAATCGTTTTTCGTTACTTATTCACTTTGTATAGCCAGTGTATCCTAGCTGTAGCCACTGTTGTAGATTTAAAATGTATTAGGTACTATTGACTATTTATGGTAATACTATTAATTAAATAGTTATCTACTTTTTCTAACGCAATCACATATTGCACGTTACGACAGTCTAGGAATCGACAAGTTTGCGTTATTTGTAATATTATGTCCACGGTTCCTTTTTATATTAGTTATAGAATTATTCAATGTTTTACACTTAAAAACTACCAATTCTAGGGGATATACCCACCCCTTAAATTAGGTTCGGCGCTACTGATTATTAATTTTACAACAGAAATTTTAAAATATTTAAAATCAACATCTATGATTTTATTTTATTTTATAATCATTTTTCTCTTTCTTTACAATATTATCAACATATTTTTTGTGTCAACTATTTCATGGGTTTATAATTTAATTTCTTAAATAACTATATAATTAATAATTATTATTAGACATTGTTATTTCTTCTTGCTCAAATATTTTATTATTATTACCACTTTTCCATATTCGCTGAAAACATAGATTTAGAGTTATTAATTAGGAAATCCAAACTCCTGCCTGTTCGCTGACAAATATTTACAAAATTAGATGCTTTGATATATGTTGCAGAACAAGTTTTAATAACTTTATTTATACAATTGTATTTCATTTGAAGGTTCATCAAATCGCTGAAACAGTTCATTTAAAAATGATTTGAGTGTATGAAAATAAAAGATGCTTCTCGCTGAATAAGCTATTAAGTACACATATATTTGTGTTTGTATTGCAAGGAAATATATAATATTTTAGTTAAAGTAGAAGCAAGGTGACGACTTGTTTTAGACATTTTTTGTTTAGATTCATTAAGTAATAAAACTTTTTCGAACGAAAAATATATAAATAGCAACTCGTTAATTAGTATTTTTTCATTGTTGTCCTGGTGGAAGGGTTGCGTTTTTTTTGTATTTTTAATATTACGTTTTATTTCTAAATAATATATTTTTTACCTCATTGTTTTAGAATACGATGTAAACGTTGCTTGATTTACATCTTCTATTGAACATATTTTGTTTTTTAAATCATTGATAATATCTGTATAGTGTTTTTTTTCATATTCTAATCGTTTTTCCATGTCTTCAATATTATTTTCACAATTCGAGTGATACTGTTAGTAAACACGAAATATCTAATATTAGTCACGCGAGTAATAATTATTTTCCGTGTAAAAATTTTTTTATCGTTGACTTTGTACTTTGTTTTGATGATACGCGTTTAAATAACCATACTATTTAAAAATATTTATTATAAAAATGATAATATTATCAGAATTAATATAATAGTAATTATTAAATTATACCTACGTTGAATTTTGAAAGATAAACATTTTTCCAACATGAATTATTTTTGTTGTTTATCACGTTTATCTTTACATTAAGCACTCTTTAGCTCTATTGCACTAAACATTTTATAACTATATCATAAAATAATTCTATCGTCTTTTTTTCCCAAGCTAATCAAACATGAGATGCAACAGAAAACTTGTTCGTAATCGTTATAAAAACAGTAATCCATTATAATGCTCGAGAGGTTTTTTTTAGAATGTAGATAGATACTTATATATAAAATCAAATTTTTTACATAAAAGAACGCTGTTACATTATAGATATACGTTATGATAATATTAGGTGCCGCCTAATTTATTTTGGTCGTGTAAGGCTAGATTTCATTAACTATTTCCTAAGTTTACCCCTTTATTATTTCTGGGAGGGACGTTATTACTGTTGTAACTTGGGGTGGATATGAATTTACTGTTAGATATAAGGTAATATAATGAAAACCTTAAAGTTTATGTCAATCAGTAGTCACGTAAAATATTTAAATTAATTAAGAGGCATAATTTAATATAATCGTAAAAGTTTAATTACTATAATGATAGCCACTTGTATTTAGGTACTTAAAGATTATTACCCATCACTTAATTGGGTAATATTATAATGTTGTTATTATGTTGAGTTCAAATATTCAACCCAAGTATTGAAGCCAATAATTCAACCAAGGCTGTAACTGGAAAATAATTTTTTTGGTGGAGGAAGATCAAACATTTTTTTAAAATAGATAGTGGACATTCTTCATATTTACGTTAGAAATATAAAACCTCTTTATTATTGTTATTAAAAACATAAATCGTCATTCTAATATTCAATTTACGTAATGGTTAATTCTTTATATACATATTGAACTATTATCATTATTAAAAAAGATGTCCTAGGATAATGGAGACGGGTGCAGCCATTGTTATAGGTAATTTAATGAATACCTGTAAGCAACGATAAACCATTGCTTACGAAAAAACAGTTCTAAGCGGAGTTCAGTTAATAGTATATGTTTAATGTTGTACCGATTTTTCCAGTTTTCCTACGTTTTTCCAGGTTTTCTCATTTTTTTATCTCGGTTTTTCTAATTTGCTGAGAAAAAACTTAGGGAAATAGAAAAACGACCTCTTTAAATTCCTCGCTAGTGAAATTTCCTACTAGAAATATTGCTATCATTAAAATTTGGCGTAAAATTTTTGGTAGAAAAGTTGTTGACAGAAAAAAAAATCGTAAATTATGTTTATTATGTTTCGTAAATTTTCTCGTTCTTTTCGGTTTTCAAATTTGATGAGAAAACTTATGAGAAAATCGAAAAAAAGACCCCTTTAAAGTACCTCTCTACGCTGATTTCCTTATAGAAAAGGTGCTACACGTAGAAATCCGAGCATTGTCTTCTAGGAGAAAAGTTGCGCACTGATAAAAAAAGAAAAAAAAAGTAAACATCTTTGTAAAACCATACGCTTCTTTGCTCCACTCAGAATCTAAAGTATAAACTGCAAATTGTTCTATTATTAAATTTAAAAATTAATTTATAATTTATACACATAAAGCTTTTGACTATTTTATTTTATTAAAATAGCTCTATTTTTTTGAAGAGTAAATCTATTTAAGACGTCTTCTTAATCCACTTTAATTCTTTTGAACACTAATTTAATCGGTTTTCTCCAATAGCTTCAAAATATTATTTTTAAAATGTTTACTAAATATTTCAATTGCGTGTTTAAAATTATTAAGCTCTTCGACAACTATCGAAGAAAGTTTTTGACGATTGCCTTTGCCTCCAAATTTCTGACCAAATATTATAAACACCACTATTATGAATTATTCAGTAAATAAGCGACGGAAAAGTTCAAACTAGCTAAATTGAAATTTTACTACTAGAACGTAAATGTAAAATTATTCTTTATGCAATTATAATGAATAAACTATATTCAATACTAAAATTTTTCTATTTTTAAAAAACTTCGGAGAGGGGGGTTTGGATTTCTGGACTCCCCTCTCATCAGTTACGGCCTTGAATTCAGTTCATACTCGTATTTTAAATATTTCAAAAAAATAATTAACGATTAATACTCAAATGTAGTAAAAAAAATAAAAAATATATGTATAAAATAAAAAATTAATTAATTAATGATGGGGTTGCCATTATTTTATGATTAATACTCCTATTATTATGAATTTAAAAAGAAGTTTAATTTTAGCGCGGCGTACAGTATATGCAAAGTATAATACATACACGTATTCAATTACGATATTATGTAGTATTTATAATTTAGATTAATTCATTTGTAATATTCTTAGATGTACAATTCTTAAGTCACGATGTTTGTTATTGAACTCCTCCGAAACGGCTCGACCGATTTTCATGAAATTGTTCGTGTATATTTTGTAGGTTTGAGAATTAGCCATAAAGTATTTGTCACCCTCCTACCCCTCCTACCCACCTCACTACTATTTTTTAATCGCAATTTTATTGTTTACTGCTTATATATATTTTATAAATACAATTTTTTTTTGTTTATTTGTGTCACCCCGGTAACAGGGATGAATAACAAACACTGTGACCGGAGAATTTTATATATAAGATAAGATTTTTGTTTATTCATGGGTTGCCACGAAAAAAAAAGACTGTTTTAATTATTATTATTACTATTATTTACACTATTCAAATTTCACAATAAAACACATTTTCCACCCATTTGTTTTCTTTCAATTCTAACACGGTTAAAACCAAAAATGAATATGAGTAAAATAATAATAATACAAATTGACATGGTCATTGTCGGACGCGGGACAGCTGATACATATAAAAATATAAATCTGTTCTTACATTTTATTGGAAATCGATAAATATAAATGTATAATAAACATATTATGTCTGGGTAGTTTTGTTATATAACGTATGTTAGGTCATGTTTACTGTGTGAATTTTAGTAGCTATAGGTATTCTCGTAAGTACATATTTATTTAGTCCATGATAATCTTGTTCAAAAGTAATAAAAGAGCGAAATTGAAGTCGATGGAGAAGGATAAAATAAAATTACTCCGGAATTGAGATTACACCGTGCTAATGAAAATTTTGCCGTCTCGGGTTATATAGTGTGTTTATACTTTTATTTTTTTGATGACCCCACTAAAATTTTGGCCAATCCCTTCCGTGGGGATTTGGTACCTTTAAAACTTTCTGAAGAGTAATGAGTTTCCATCTCTGACAAACTAAACGGTTTTCCCCTGATCTTTATTTTCTACTATTCGTTCATTAAACTTTAACAAGCGTTGTTTTCGAAATAGAAGACTTGTATATATCCGTACACTAAGGGTGTGGTCCAAGTGAAAAGTAACTTAAAATCTTAAATTCTATAATTAAGTTATTATAATATTAAGGTTGAGAATTATTTATATTAACTTTGATTGAAAAGATATTATTCTTTCATTCGTTATATCATAATTCATTTTATTTTAAATTCCATTATTATTTTAGCAATACAGTTATAGTTTACGATGTTTAATAAAAATAAATAAATTATGGTTTTCAAAATTGACATTTTATTATAATTTTGAAAAAAAAAATAGGAAATATGGATGCCATAACCTATGCGATATTTACTTAGAAGTTTTATATATATATATATGTATGTGTGTATATTTTTTCAGAATTTCTGTAGTATGTATGTTCCACATATATTTAAATTTGGTATATACAAGGCATTGACAGAAATTCAAAATTTCAAAATAAAAATATATTTAAATTATAAAATCATTTATTTATGATATTTTTAATGATGGTTGCTATTCAATAATCAAAAACAGTAGTTTCATCCCCCCCTCAAAAAAAAAAAGAATAACAAAAAATAACAACAATGTAAAATTTTAGAGCTATTAGATTCTGAGCGGAGTGAGAAATTTAATGGTTTTACAGTGATGATGATTATCATTTTTTTCTGTGGTCAACTTTTCTACTAGAAATTTTATTCGATATGCAATGATAGCACTTTTTCTGAAAGGAAATCTGATTGGGATTGTACTTTAAGGAGGTCATTTTTGGATTTTCCAGGAGTTTTCCCGATAAATTTGAAAACTGGGAAAAACGCAAGAAAAACGGGAAAATAGATACAATATTAAATAAACAAATATTATTAAAGAAAATATAATTATTTTATCATAATGTGACGCATATATTTTTGACAAATCAACACTATTATCCGAACTCCGTTCAGAATCGTTTCTCGTTAGTAATGGTTATTTATTGGGTATAGTTGTACATTAAATTTCCCCTCTACTTCCCCAACTTCTTACCTACAACAGTAACCCACCCACGTGCAAATTTTGTCTCTTTTTTTGTTTTATAAGGTCTTCAAAAAAAAAAAACCCAAGATAATGAATATGTATCGAGAATCGATAAAATAAACTATAAATAATTTTAAAAAAAGTTTTCTTTACATCTGCGGAACCTCGTGGTTCGTCTATAATAAACAAGTAGGTGGCAGGTGTACATTTTAATTTTTTGAGGTGCATATTTGGGATTTTGTAGTACACAAAGTGTATCGTAGTGGACACAAAAATAGCCTCTGACATTTGGGATTTTGTAGTACACAAATTGAGTTATAGTGCACACAAAAATAGTTACTAGTGAATATGTAATTAACATAACATTATGATTATATTGGTTTTATTGTGGTTAGATTTTAGAAGGTATTTTTATAATATTATTTACGTTAATGATAATTCATAAGTAAAAATATAAATTACTTTAGATATC